AGATTGAGAATGAGAAAGAAGGCAGAGGGGTAGGGCATCCAGAGTAAGGAGAGTAGTGGCAACAGATGAAGTCATAGAATTAGGCAAGGGCTAGATTGTGTTGGGCAACAATCAGCAAATCTTTTCTGTAAAGGGGCCAGCTAGTAAATATTTTGGGCTTTGCTGGCTCTGTTTCAACTACTCAACTCTGCCATGGAGCAGAAAAGCACATAGACGATCTGTAGACTAATGAGTATGACTTTGTTACAATAAAACTTTATTTGCAACAATAGGAGGTGGGCCAGATTTGATACATGGGCTGTGGTTGGCCAACCACTGGAGGCGGTTGAATCCTATGATAAGGAATCCTATGGTAAGGAATTTGGATTTTATTCCAAGGATAGGTAGTCATTGAGAGGTTTTGAACAGTGAGTGTCATATGGTCAGATTTTGCTTTGAAGAGGTTCCCGTAACACAATTTATAACCTAAGAATTGTCTTTCTCCATTTATTATTCCTTTCCCATTATGAACTCTATTTCTAATTTTCCGTTGAAAACTGAGAGGATGGGGGAGCCTCTGGTAGTTGCCTGTGCTGTTTACTAGTCACATGACCTTAGGTCAATTGCTTAATCCCTCTGAGCCTCAGTTTCCTTCTTTATAAAACTGTAATAAGAACACCTGTCTCAAAGGGTTGTTAAATGGATTACATGAGATCATGTATATAAAACAATTGTCACAGTGGCTTCCAAAGTAAGGGCTCAACAATGCAAATCCCCTTGCCTTTTTCCATTGGGCCTGTGTATATCATACTTCAGTCAAAGCAGGAGGACATGTAAAATTAGGGTCAAAAAATCAATTGCACAATTGTAGGACAGGTAAGAAATTGCTTAACATAACATAACTGGGTGACTTGACTGCTATAAGAGCTAATATGATTTTAATTTAAATTAATAGAAACATGATTTCCCATGACAAGAATGATGAATCTATTTGTATTCCATGTTAGCCAAGTATTTGGAGTCCCGGAAAATATTCTAAGTGCACTCCTTTGAGAATACTAGTAAGTGAAGTACATTCAAATAATTGTCCAATATAAAAGGGTTTGGGAATGCTATCATATGTAAAATGTATTGGAAGTGTTTAGATTGGGAAAAGAAGACTAAAATGAAACTTTAAAACTGCACACTTAGCTGAAAGGCGGTCATTTTAAAGAAAGAGAAGACACACTATTCTGGTGTAGAGGGGAGCCACCTTGGACCATTGGATGGAAACTGCAGAGATAAGATTTTTCCACAGTTAAAGATCTCCATGGTAGAAGTCGGCTCTCAATCCACGCAAGTATTCTGGAAGCAATGGAGGAGTATATAATAGCTGGGATAATGTACAAGAGATTTTTGCAATGTAAGCACAAATAAATTAAAAGACCTTTCTTCATACCTTCCTCATTTCCGATTCCTTCCTCATTTCTTACTGCTTTCTCATTTCTGCAGGGCACATTAACCAAATCTCTAGAGATCGAAAGACCAACCACTTTGGATACTAGGATTTTTTTCTCCTGGGGTCTCTGCTAAAAAGAGCATTGTGAGGCCCATGAATCCATGGTTTATGAAGAGGTAGAGAGACTAATAGTGGGTTATTGGTGGGTGGGTCAGAGGGGAAGGAGGGAGAGCCTAAAGTAAAAATAGAGTTTCCTTTATGTAAATGGAGTCAATTTTATGTCACTGAAAAATAGATGAAGATCAGGAGAGGAAAAATGAACTCAGCAAGTTCTCACCAAAACCATTTCCAAATCCGTCAACTCCTCCTTCCCTGTACCTATTCTCCCAGTTGGCCGTAATGAGTTGCATTTTTTTTTTCCCCATGCCATGCAAACAAGGAAAGACCAGGAAGTACTGTTTATTTTTGCCTGTCTCCTCTTCATGAAAATGTAAGCACCATGAGGGCAGTCTTTCTCGTTCATGCTTGCATCCTAACCAAATGTTTACGGAAAGAATGAGGAGTGGGACTCATTCTAGAGTGGAATATGACAGCAGGAAATAATGATGATTGCATGAAGCTCAATATCCCAAATGCTCAAGGGACATGTCTAGTAATAGCTTCAAGAAAATATTGCCCTCAATTTTGTCTGGTTATTTTCCGAGATTACCTGGCCCATGTTATATCTGGTCAAAAAAGAATGATCCTCCAGAAATTCAGAGTAAAATAGTTCTGGTCTGTGCACGATGGAAAAGGAATAGCTCAGTCAGCGCCCAGCAAAGTTTTTAGCTGTTGGAGTCAAGGGGAGACTCTGAGAAAATGCAGGGGAGAGGTGGCAAAGAAAGGAAAAAAAGGGATGAATAGGAAGGGGGAAGAGAAAGAATAGGAGGGCAGGTCATTATGTTTCTTGTGTGCATTTAACCTCTCTTATGCCCACAAGTGAATGTCATTTGAGAAGCGAAAATTCATTTGACTCTCAGAAGGATGAGAAACTGTCTAAGGACAAGTGGTAGAATGTTTAGAGTGTTACTGCAGAGATCCCAGTGTGTTCTTTAGCAAAGCCATCGTGTTCATGGATATGATGGAAGGTAGTTATTTGTTGAGCACCTACTGTGTGTCAGGCACTGTTGAGAATGGAAAGAAAAGTATCTTGCTATGTTCTGTGGCAGCCTCTAATGCTGCAGTTTACTGACCAGTAGCTGTGGTCAGGGGCAGATCCAGCTTTTGTGGGGCATGAAGCTTATGCATTTGTTTTTTTTAGGTGAAGTTCTTTAAGAAAAATAATTTAAATTAAAAAATATTCAAGAATAAGTCTAGAGTCTTAAAAGGAGCCTATGCTTTTGAGAAGTGCTGAAGTTTGAGCTTTGTTTCCTAGTAAATCCATCTCTGGCTGTAGTGATAGTTCATCAGTTACTTTAATTACTTTAATAAAAAATTGCCACCATGCTGCCTCAAAAACATTCAGTTTGGAAATCAGGGAAGAAAAGGGATAGGATGGAGTTGAAGTGGGAAAGTCGAATAGCTCAAGTGAATCCACATGGTTCTATTTTAATAATAGAGCAAAAGGCTGATTCCGAAAAGTTTATTTTTATTCCCTTTTGCTAAAAATTCCAGTTTTGTCAAAATGGTTAGAAAAGAAGAGGTTTTATTTTAAGTGCAAACAAACAAACAACCCTGGATCTATACACAAGCTCCTTCCAGCGTGGGGGACTCTCTTAGGTTTCTAGTCAATGTGTTTCTGTTGCCAGGGTGATAAGCTCCGTGCTTCTGGATTTAGACTATAAATTCCTCCAAAATATTTTATAATCTGGAGATATTGGGCTTTGACTAGATCTGATGGATATGGGGGTGAGTGTGTTTCTGAGGAATTCCCTCCCAGCACTCCTGTGTGTCGCATTTTACCGTGTATCAGAGCCACTCAGGGAGCTTATGAAAAACTCTTTTTCCCGGATATTACTCCCAGAAATTCTAATGCAGAGGGACTGCTGTACAGACCAGGAGACTCCAATGCAGTCAATTCCTAGATTGCTCCTGGCTTAACAACCCTGCTATACATAGGAGGAATTATAAACATACTCAGCAAAAGGGGAAACTGAGGCACAGGAAAGCAAAACAACTTGCCTCAGGTCCCTTAACAAGTTTATGTCCGAACAGAACATTTCAGCTTCAAGAAGTCCTGGCAAAGGCCACAAACTGGAAAAAAGAGCATAATTCTAGAAGAGAGAACAGTCCAGCAAACATACAGATTTGCTAGGGAAGGGGGTGGTCACAGTGGACTGGTGTGTGTTGATTTTAATAGACAAAGGGATTAGGACCACTAAGGTAGACAAGAATTAGTGAACACTACAGAGACTTTTTAAAAGGACTTTGTGAGTGTTGGCAAGAAGAAAAAAAAAATAAGAGATTTTGTAAGAACGGAGGGCCTCAGCGCATGGGAGGCTACAAACAAGGAACAGAATTTGATGTCTGAAGGGGGAGGGATTTGCACAGTCCCCGGCAGATCACAGGCCCTCAATCAATGTTTGTCGAAGGAATTTGCAAAGGAGGCCGAGTACTAATGTTGCCTCGATTTGATAACTACCATTTTCCTGGTTGCCATGTTTCTGGTGTGGGATGTCAGCCAGGAATCCAATAAGCAGAAACAGACAATGTGAGGTAACGCCAGAGAGGTTGGACTCTGGTTAAGACTGTCAGAGACACAGGCCCAGTAGTAAAACCAGCCTGAGGGGGTGAAGGTGACTGACTCCTTAGAGACACCTCTCCAATCAGCTGGGGTGTAGGGGTGGGGTGGGGAGGTGTGCCCATGTGAGGGTGGGAGGGAAAGAGTGATTTAATTTATTTAATGAAAAATGACCTGAACGTTTCTCTGAACCTGGAAACTCCCCATCTAAATGGGGCCAAGTAATACAGGATTAGGTCTTATTTCTTCTACGTTGGCTTTGCGTCTGCTTAGAATGAGTTAAACTGGAGGGAACAGAAAAATCATCCCTTTTCATTGTCTCTGCAGAGAAGTCAGGAAGACTCTGAATCATTTAATGGGTTAATAGGACAGACTTCCCTCTGACTCCCTGTAGACATTGTTTTTCTCCAGCTTCCTTTGCTTTTTAAATGGACACTCCATTTCTTGGATATGTGTTCATAGCAACAGACAGTTTGCGATATTAAAACCAGAGAAGCAAGTCACCCCTCTGGCATTTTGTCTACTGACAATCTCCTGATTTCAGGTCTAATATTCCCTCTGACCTCCACAAGGGCCAGCTTTTGCCCTGAAGCATGAGGTCGTGAAAACCACAACAAACGTTTTGCCAGAGTGGGCAACTGCTGACATGTAATTTTCTATGTGACTTACTGGAGTGGCAAGATTATTCGGCCTAGATTTTTGGAGATACCCAGTCTTTTCCTCGGCGCCTTTTCTAGGATTGCCAAAGGTTGCACTTAAAAAAACGGAAAACATCACAGCAATCGGCACTTTTGTCTTTTGTGCTCAAATCTGCCAAATCATCCAACAGGAGAACTGGGTGAATAAATCCACAGGGCCATTTTCTTTTTAATGCAATGTATATTTATTGTAAACAATAATATACAAAAAAAAAAGAAAGAAAAAAGGAAAGGTAAGTTTCACAGAGAGAACAAAAGGCTTGGGGGTGGGAGGGAAACAAGCCAAACAAATAAAACACAAACACAAACCAAAGCTTACCTAAAGACAAAATATGATTTAAATGCCAGGTTTCTTAAGTTACAGAAATATCTTTTTTAAAAGATCTGCTTTTATACAGAAATTGAAGGATGCCATATTATGAGTGCTTTAAGATTTTATTCTACTGACTTCTAAAACTGTTAATATATCTTTTTTAAATAAAAAAAAAAAAGTTTGCTGTCTTTTTTAAAAAGCAATCCTCAAACTCTCCAGCCACAGCAGTAATTAAGATTAAGGTCTGTCAGTGGGCTGATCCCCTCCAGGTTAGCCTCCTTCACTCCAAGAGAAGATGCAGAATATCGATGACACATGCTTGCATTGTTTTGTGTCCACACACACACACACACACACACACACACAATCAATCAGTATAGGGCAGCCCAAAGGTCTGTGGCAGAAAACACTGCAAATGACTCAGTGATACACTACATTTGCAATCTCTCATTTGTATAAAGAGAAACAAGTTTCCAGTTTGTTTTCAACAAAAACAACAAGGAAAAAAAAAGGGGCGGACAAAAAGGCCTTTATACAAATCTAGGATGAAGAATCCAAAGAAACTTGCTTTTAATAAAAAAAAAAAAAAAAGATTAAAGAGATAAATTAAAAAAAAAACCGGTTACAGTTAAGAACATAATTTAACAACAGATGACCATACCCTTTGAGGAAGTTTCCAACAACCTATTTTAAAGAAGGTAAAATTAAAAAAAAAAAAAAGAAAGGAAGTTTTTTTTTTTTTTTTTGTTTTGTTTTGTTTTTTTAATTAAAACCTCTCCTTACAAAATAAATAATTTTAGCACGTGGAATGTCTTGAAGGTTAACTGCTGGTGTTCAGAGAGGCACAGGTGACAGGGTGAAAGCAGGCATCTGCCTTCCACATGGGGCCCAGGCAGGCAACCAGGGGACAGTGGCTCGGGCAGTTATTGGCTGCTGAAACATTCCCAGAACAGATTTTGTCTCCTTTGCTTGCCTTTTACCTCTTTCTTAAGACTGCGGTGAAGAAGCAAAGGCAGGAGAATGCACTAAAAGAGAGCGCAAGTATTCCCCAGCAGCATGGATTTAAGGCTCAAGGTGTTTTTCTTTTGTGTAAAAAATATATATACGATAAAGCTTACCAAATGCTTCTCTAGACTATTGTTTACTCCCATAATTGCAAAATAAGGCCTTTATTTTTCTTTTTAAGGCAGCTCCTCCTTGAATTGGAAAGCCTGAGGAATTAAGCAAAGCTAACCCCCAAAACTGATCACATAACACAATGTTTTAAAAATGTTAATACAACAGGCTTTTTTTTTTTCTTTTTTTTTTTTTTTTTTTTTTGTAAGCGAAAGCAAATCTGTACAAAAATACTCTGTTTGCAAGAAAAGCTAGGGCACACTTTTCAACTAGGAGTAGTTTAGCTGTTGGAAAAATAAGAGCATTTAATTTTATCTAAAAATATGTATAAATCCCCTCAAAATGGTAATGAATCATACACAGTACATACTAAAAATATTTAAAATAGAGAATATTCCTCACAGAGGACTTCTTTTTTTAATTACTGCTAAAAAATAATTACAAAGTCCAAGAAGGCAGAGAGATTGAGCACACCGATCGCAACGATTCTCCATCATCCTCCACGCTTGCTCTCAAGAGGGTTTCAAAAGCCCAGTTTCTTGTCGATTTCACTGGTCCATTTAGCCAAGGTTTGGCCTGGCCATCGATTCGCCACAAGTGGGTAATGCGCTTGGATAGGTCACGTTTCTGTCTTGGAAATCTGGGTGCGAGTTGCCTTTAGCTTACATGTCTTTAAGGAAGAAGAAGAAGAAAAACAAAACAACAACAAAAAAAACAAACAAAAAACAACAACAACAACAACAAAACCCACTAATGTCCAAAGGGAATTCTGGCTGGTCCTCTCTTTCTTCGGTTTTGTTTAGGATCATCTCGGCCACCTTCGCCCTTCGTGGGAGGCCTCCTCAAGGTCGGGTGAGCTGTGTGTAGACGGGTTGTTCCCAGTGCTGGGGGCTGTGGGTCTGCGGGATGGAAGGGACCCCGGAGGTGTCGGCGATGGGGGTGTACATGGGGCGCTGGGCGGGGTTCATGTAGGTGAAGGTGGAGTAGAGGCCGGTGCCCTGGCCCGCCGCGTGGCTGTAGTAGGAGCTGGAGTTCTGGTGGTCGGTGTAGTCGTACTGCGAGCGGGTGATGGGCGGGTAGGAGGGGCTGTAGTGCGGCAGGCTGAAGGGGCTGTAGGCGATCTGCTGGGGCGAGTGCTGCTGCTCGCTGTAGTGGCTGGGGCTCAGCTGCTCGGTCTTGATGTGCGTTCGCTGGGCCTGGCCCGGCTCGCTGCTCAGCGTGGTCAGCGTGTGCGCCTGCGGCTGCTGCGGGGGCGCGGCCGGCTGCTGCGGGGGCGCAGCCTGCGGCTGGGGGGGCGCCTGCGGGGCCGGCGGGGCCTGCGGGGGCTGCTGCGGGGGCGGCGGCGGCGGCGCCTGCTGCTTGGACATCCACACGTGGCCCGCGCCCGCCGGGGTGGCCGCGGTGCTGCTGATGCCGTAGCTGCCCGTGTAGGTGACCTGGCCGTGTGTGGCCGGCACCCCCGGGTGGCCATTGGGCGGCAGGTACTGGTCAAACTCGTTGACGTCGAAGGTCTCGATGTTGGAGATGACGTCGCTGCTCAGCTCGCCGATGTCCACGTCGCGGAAGTCGATGGGGGGCTGTCTGCCCCCCTCGGGCAGGGGGCGCCCCTCTCGCTTCAGGTCAGCCTTGCCCGGCTGCACGTCGGTTTTGGGGGTGGTGGGTGGGGTCGGCGGGCCCTGGGATTGCCCTGAGGACGGATAAAAGAACAAGCACGGGAAAGTCAACACGGGCTGCACAGACGCCCTGGTCTCAGGCACCCTCCGGGGACCCTCCCTCGCTGCGGCAGGGCAATAAGGGCCCGCACCCTTATTGGGAGGCGCACTGCACCGGAGATAAGTCGCCCAATGATTAACCCGCCAGTACACACTGGACAGTCCCCTTTTATCAGGAGAGGGTCTGGGGCCCGGAGGGTCCGGAAGACCAAATTGCTACTTGTAGAAGAGCCCTGTGTGTGCTTTTGGGGTGCGGTGCAAAGGGAAGAAAGGGGGAGGTCTTGTAGGGCTGTAAGGACATTTTACCTCCCAATAAAAAAACCCCAAAACACTAATCTCTTCGGATGCTGGGATTGAGGGGTGTGTGTGTGTGTGTGTGTGTGTGCGCGCGCGCGTGTGTCTGTCTGGGTGCCTCTTAGGCTGTGAGTGGAGAGGGAAGTGGGACAGGCGCAAAGGGTGGCGTGTCCCTCCCGAGAAGCATCAAGTCTCCAGGAAGAATCTTCCAGACGGAGGGCAGGGGGTGGCGTGTCCCGCGGGGCCGAGGGGCGACTCACCCGAGTGCTCGCCGGGGGAGTGCACCTCGCTCATGCCAGAGGAGGAGTGAGGCGAGTCGGCCTGCAGCGCCTTGAAGATGGCGTTGGGGGAGATGTGCGTCTGCTCCGTGGCCTCCTCGGCCTCTGCCTGGCCGTTCTTCACCGACTTCCTCCGCCGGGGCTGGTACTTGTAATCCGGGTGGTCCTTCTTGTGCTGCACGCGCAGCCGCTCCGCCTCCTCCACGAAGGGCCGCTTCTCGCTCTCGTTCAGAAGTCTGCGCGGGGCAGGGCGGGGGGGCACAGAGAAAACGAGGGAGGGGGGTCAGTGAAACCCGCCGAACTGTCAGGTCGGTGGGGAGGAGGCGGCGATCGGGACCACTCGCTTCCTTTGCACACAACCCCATCTCCCCTCCTCCCTCCAACCACAGCTCCGTAACTTTTCTTAAAAAAAAAAAAAAAAAAAAAAAAAAAAAAAAAAAAAACAGTTCTTGGTCCGACCTGAGCGCTCACTCCCCGCCCCCGCCCCCTCCCGCTCCTTCCCTTCTATTTTGGAAAGGCTGGAGATGAAAACAACCCCTGCTGCTGCCCCCTAAACGCCTTTGCTGCTGGAGTTATCGCCCCCAACCCCAACACCCTCTAAAAACTTTCCCACAAATTACTTAAGCTGCAAGAAACTACCCAATTTTCAACCCCCCATACTTCCACCTATTTCCAGCAGCTTCCCTCCTCCCCCTCCCAATTCCTGCCAAGGGTCTCCTCCAATCTCAGTTTCTCCCCTGCCCCCCCTCCATGGGTGTAGGGGGGCTGCAAGGCAGAGTGCAGTTTTAAGGGGCAGGGTGGGGGGAGGCAAACTTCACTCCCCAGCCCCCCCCCCCCATTGAGCTTCCAGGCGACCACAGAGCAGGCTGGCAGCCCCTCCTTCCGTCTCCCACCAGCCTTCGTCCATCCTCCGGCTACCGCCTCCTCCCCTTCCATTTACCACCCCCTCCTCCTCGTCCCCTCGAGCAAACCCAGAACTTTGTCAAACTCTGAGCCCCAGTTACACCCTGTTCCTACTGCCACCCCGACCCCATCGGCTCCTGGAACAGCAACTCCCAGGCGCTAGGAGGTGGGGTGGGGAAAGCCAGCCCTGGCCAGAGCCCCCCCGCCGCTGCGATGCCCACCCTGCCGCGCCGCCCCCAGCGGGCACCCCTACCTCCAGAGCTTGCCCAGCGTCTTGCTGAGCTCGGCGTTGTGCAAGTGCGGGTACTGGTCCGCGAGCTTCCTGCGCGCCGCCTGCGCCCACACCATGAAGGCGTTCATGGGCCGCTTGACGTGCGGCTTGTTCTTGCTGGAGCCATTGACGCGCACCGGCATGGGCACCAGCGTCCAGTCGTAGCCCTTGAGCACCTGGCTGACCGCCTCGCGGATGCACACGGGGAACTTGTCCTCCTCGCTCTCCTTCTTCAGGTCCGGCTCGCCCTTGGGGAACGTGTTCTCCTGGGGCCGCGTGTTCTCGGTGTCTGAGCCGGAGCCCGATGGGCAGGGCGAGCCCGCAGAGTCCTCGGACATGGTGGGGCTGGGGGCGCCGGACAGGCCCTTCTCCTGCTCGTCGGTCATCTTCATGAAGGGGTCCAGGAGATTCATACGCGGGCCCAGGGCAGGGGGCAGGTGGCCGGGAAAGGCGAGAAGCCGCGGCGGCTCGGGGTCTCGAGGCGCGGGCTCCTCTCCCCTCGGCTGCTCGGATGCAGAGCGAGCGGCTCTCAGGGAGGCTGGCGCGTCGGCCGGCTGCGGCTGCGGGCACTTAGGAGGGCGCGGGGTGGCCAGTCCGCAGCTGCCCGCTCCAAGTGGGGGAAGGCGAGTTGGAGAGGAGGAGGGGAGGAAAAAGAGCAAAAGTGGGGGCGTTTGCACCCCTTCTCTTCTCCTCCTGCAAAGAAAAGTTTCCGGGGTTGAAACTGGCGAGTCTCCGCGCCACTAAAGTTTCCAGTCGGTTTCGAGCTCCGCTCTCGGCTCTCCAACTCCCAGCCCAGGGTCTCCTCAATAAATACCCGCCTCACCTTAGAGACTTCGGCCAATCACAGCGCGGCAGTCCCAGGGTTGGCAGGCAGCTGATTGGACCCGATTTTGGGGGAGGGAGGAGGATTGTGGCACTGGGCTGGGTGAAGAGACGGGAGGGGAGGGGAGGAGAGGGGAGGGGAGCGCAGCCAAAGGGTGGACTGTGGGGTAGTGGGGGTGGGGGGTGCTGCGGGGAAGGCGGGGGACCCGGGACTTCAAGTGTGTAAGTTTGTCGTACTCTCGGAATGCCAGAATTTTAGTGCCTTCTCTGCGCGGATCTTTGTGTGCGTGTGTGCAAGTGTGTGTGTCTAGACTGGGACCTACCCCCACCTCCGACATTTCTTTTCGCTGCTCTCTCTGCGGCACCGGGGACTTAGCTGGAGTTTGCAGTATTCGAAAGGCAGCTGATCCTTAATGCGTAGCCGAGTTTGCGCGCCTGGAGCCTGCCTGCCTGCAAAAGTGCTTAGAAATAGTCTTTTGAAGCAAATGTTTCGGTGACTCAACGCCCGCTGTTCCTCCCAAATAATCCATATAAATAGATTAACATGCTCAGGTTCCCCGGCGCTGGTGCGGCTGGTCAGGATTCGGCTGAGCTTTTGCAAAGGGAGTCAATGGAAAGCAACGCTAAGTCCCCGAGAAGGCTGGCAGCGGCGGCCTTGGCGACGCCGCGGGAGCCCCGCGCTCTCAGGGCTACCCCGAGCCACACCGACCTTGAACTCTGACAAGTCTTCCTCTGGCCCCCTCTGCCTCCGACCCCGCCGACTCTCCTCAGTAACGGGGCTCCTGCAGCTGACGTTTTAGTCTTTGCTTCCTGGCGGAGTCAAAAACGTCAGCTGAGTCCCCCTGTCTGGGGAGAGTGTGCAGACTGCTGTGGCTTTGAGAGATCGAAGTTTGCCAGTGCGGCCGTCCCAAGCCGCGAGGCCCGGACCGGTCGCTTGGTTTGTAAAAAGCCTAACAGATGGGCACCACCGCAGACAAAACGCTCCGCTTTGGCGGAGTCATGGTGCTTGCCTGCTTTTGCTGGCATTTACTGAACACCTGAAGGGGCAAAGCGCCTGCGCTTCTGACTCCAGTCCGGGCGGTTTAGACCTGCATACAGTTCGGAGTTCTGGGGGAGGCATTGGTAGTGGCTCTGATGTGTTTCAAGTGTGATTTGAGCACAACCTTTGTGTTTACACGAAATGCTTAGTGCCAGGTTAGGTAAGTGCGGAGCCATCTGCTCTGGGACAGAAGAAAAATCTTGGTCGCTTGCGGGTTCCGTGCTTTCATAATCTCAAATAAACGTACAACATTGGAAAACTCTTAATTTTAAACTCCCCCTCCCCTTTTTGGGCTCTTGCAAAAATTTGCTTCTAATTAAATTATTTTTATGGTGAATCGGCCCACATCACATTAAAACCTTTTTATTTTCCTTTCTAATGTGAGAAGTGAGAACACTATCACAAGATCCAAATCAATGTCCTTCTGGAAGAATTTTTAAAAATCTTGTTTTCTCTCATTTTCTTCGGAAGAAGCCCGACTCTTCTTATAGGAAATGGAACTCTTCATAAGGTAGTAAGTTACAGCCGTGTTCAACAGTATATATATATTTTAACGAAGTTAACTTCTTCAAATGGGATGTTTCGGGCGCCCTATAGCTCGTTTACAAATTTAAGAGATCTGCATACAATAGCTAGCTTCGTATTCATAGCTCTGTGATTAGTTTCAGAAAGTGTAAGAAAAGCGCCGTCCTTTCCTAGGAGAAAAAAGTCTGCGTCCTGTGGAGCCATTTCTGTGTCCTGGGTAGGAAGGCGTTGTGTGTACAGTATAACTGTAATTTTCAGACCCCTGATTCAGGAGACTCGGAGACCATCGGGCAGACATTTTAGCCAGGTCATCTGTACTTAGCTGTGTTTTATTGTAATTACCAAGTTTGCTGATATAAAGTCAGTGAAGAGGGCTATGACTTTATGATATTTTGGAATATTTCGCTAAATATTTGTCAATATATATGTATATGCATATACTTTTAATGCAATTATGCAATAAGATACTAGTATATAGACTGTCATATCATAAACAGCGGTGCTTTATACCTTTCCCGTTGGTTTGATGCAAGCATTTTTGAATTTTCTATCTTTTTGAAAACTTATCAACAGGCGAATTAAAAATGGTCTGCAGTTTTCATCTGTATCCAGAGAGGGCGCCAAAGGCCCAGAAACTGTCTCTGACTCCGAGAACCGGGGAGAATTTGGATGGTGGTGGCTGGGGGTGGTGTGTTCCACTCAATCTGGACGGCTTTGCTGCTGAGATTTATATTTGCAGGAATTCCTACACGATATTCCCTCCTGTGCGGATCCACCTCTGCGCAGCTCAGGGAGGGAACTTATGTCTGTAGAGAACCGGGTTAAAAGAGAGCGCTCGAGATGCCAGACGTTTCTATTCCGCGCCAGAATTTGGGGACTGAGGCCAGGAGAAGGCCCCGGTCCCCCAGGTGCCAAGCGTTGCCACAGTCAGGCCAAGTCTAGTGAGTGGCGCCGTCAGTTTGCGCGAGTGGATCGGTCCTGCATTTCTGCAGGGGCCTTCTGGTGTCCACTCCCCTTTCCCCATTCAGGGGGTCCATTCGCTTCCTGGTGCCTTTCTCAGGTCGCCCCACCCCTCCTCCCTGACCCGGGAAGACGCGCGCAGTCCCCGACCAGAGGACCTCAGACACAGGTAGAGGGAAAGGAACCCCGCTCCTGATGTTCGCGTTACAGATCTGGAAACTGAGGCTGTTGACCCAGTGTCAGCCAGAGCGTTTTGCCAGAAGCCAAACGAGCCAGGGTCCTCCAACTGAGGCGGTGAGGGAGGGGAAGGGCGCAGGTCAAGAGGCAGGAGACTGAGGGCGCGTCTCCACGTTCGGGACGTGCTTTCGGATACCCGCTCTGGAGCAAGCGCTGCGAGCTCTGCCGGGGAAGCGGAGACACGGAGGTGCGAGTGGTTCCCCAGGGAAGCCCTCGGGAAACCGAGGTCTGGGAACTCCGCCTTCCCCCTCTTGCACGTCCCGGGCCGGCGCCGGGCTCAATTTCCCCAGCGGGGGCCGCCAATCTCTCCTCCGCGTCTACGCGGGAGCTGAGACCCGAGCTGCTGGCCCCGGGCGAGTTTCGCGCAAACACCCGGTGCTCAGGATGGGGGTGTGGGATGCGAGCGGATGGGCTTCCTTTCATCTGAGGAATTAAGGACCAAAAGCTCCCTATCCAAATTTCCTTAGCAAAAGTAGGGATGGTGTTTGAATCCGTCTTCAGTAGGGACGCCTCTCTGTCCTTAGGAAAATTTGGTGGGATGAGCGGCTGCGTCCCCCAAGGATCTCAGCCCCGGGCAATGTTTTCATTAGAAGTGATGGGAGAAGGGGATGCCCCTTCTCCATTCCAGTTCCTTGAGCCAGGTCCCTTGCAGGCAAAAGACTCCAATCCCTGGAGGCACAGGTCCCCGTGTCCCGGGTCCCCCAGCCACTCATGTAATTAGTACTTTTCCGGGGGTTTGGAGAGTGTTTATCGTTCACTCTTCACGCCGGACCCGAGTTTCTTTTGGAGGGGAGTGGCGGGTAAGCCCGTCTCAGGACTGGCGCTGGGCTGGACAGCAACAGCTAAAGGAAAATAGAAAGGAACAAATAGCGTCATAGGTGCGCAATAAATATCTGTTGACTGACCGAATAGATGTGGCCTCTGGACATGTTGCCCGAGTGAGTGCCTGTCCCATCCCAGCTGCCAGACCTCCCAGCTACAGTTCTGAACACGCGATGAATGTACATTCCTGCGAGTGTATTTCTCCCCACGCGGGAGTCCTACTTTGGGAAGCTGTCCGACATGGGCCACCCAGGGCTGTGGAACCTTGACCCGGCTAAAACTGCAGACCAAGAGGGGTGTTTCAGTTTTCTTCCCTTTTCTGTTTTCGAAAAAAAAAAAAAAGAAAAGAAAAAAGAAAAAGAAAGAAAGATGAGGTGGACGAGAGGTGTCGGGTGAGGGGGCGCGAACTTCCAATCTGCCCTGGTGACCTGGCCGGGTCTGGGATCTGGGGGGTGTAACACAGCAGGGCGCCCCAGGGGTACTGACGGAGCCCAAGCCAGAGACCTGACAAGCTGGCTCGTCGTGGAGCTGTGGAGCCAGCAGGGAAAAAGGAGAGGTGGGAGTGGAAGGCCCCAGTCCCAAAGGGAGTGTGCTCTTTTTTCTTTCTGGGTTTTCCGAAAATATCTGTCCTTAGCGGTGGCACCCGGGAGCCGCGCGTCCTGCGGATTCCCTCAACTCACCCCTAGAACGCCCTGCAGAAAATTTCCTAGGCCATATCTTCCCCCTAACGGCCACCCCCACTCTTTTAAAAAGTGTTTTAGGCAGTTTTAGCTGAAGGTGATTTTGCCTTGGTGATTTAAAAATAAAGATAGAATAAGTGCTCCACGCAGCGGTGCCTCCTTTGCGACACACTCGGCGGCCGGGGCCACTTCAGCCCCAGGAGCTTCCTCCGCACCAGCACCTGCTGCTCCCCCTCGATCACCTTTCACTTTAGGGGTATTCAGTCCAGGTAGGACGGTTTTGTGGGGTTTCCCTAGGGGATGGCAGGCTCCATAGCGATGATATCGTCTCAGCCTGGAGGGATTCTAACAAGCGCTTCCCTCCAAGATATGCCATTGGGTGGGTGATTATTCCAGATCTTAATCAGAGAAAATGTCCCCGTAAAACCACGGAAAAAGAGGGCATATTTGTAAGATAAAATTTCGAAGGTAACGGTCAGAGTTAAAGACCCATTATCTTGTCTTCCCCGCAATCCTTTCCTGTCTCAGCAGGACCCGGGAAGTCCCGGGCAGAGCGCATCTCCCCGGCTCCTGCAAGCTGCAGCTTCACCCAGCTTCGTGTAGGGCTACGCTTTGGTTGTGGAGCGGCGTGAGGGAGTCTTGGGGGCCAGGTCTGCTGCCCATTGGCCGGAGCTCCGAACTCCGGGAAATAGCACGTCCTGTCT